GGCCCGCGGCTGCCAGCAGCTGCCCTGGCGTGCCAGCCCCTGGCAGGCGGGCAGGTGGGCCTTGGTCCTCGCGGCCTCTGGTCGGTGAGGACAGCATTCTTTTTTGTTATGGTCTCTTTCTCCCAGACTTGTCCTTAGAGGAGGCGAGGAAGGCCTACAGCTGTGGGCGGTGCATGGGGGCCACAGGGCTTGTCCACATCCCTCCTTCACCTCCTGCAGTCCCTCCTGGCTTCTCTTGAGGGGTGCCCCCTGGTGCAGCAGTGGGGTGCTGCGTACCCCGTCTTGTTCTAGGAGAGGTGAGTTCTGGAGGGGGTTGAGGGGTAGGAGGTGGGGGGCACCTTATCTGAAGCCGTGACCAGTGCTCAGGGCAGCGTTAACCCTCCTGAAAAGGAAGTTCCCAAGGTGGCTGGCAGGATGGCATTTTTTCTGCCAAGGCGATCTCCATTGCAGCAGAATCTCAAGGAAGGTTCCTTTTTGAACAGGCCTTCCTCCTGGTGCGAGTGTGTGTGAGGGATTAGTGTTTCTTGGCATTCCAAGACGGGTTCTTATCCTTTGGCTGGGTCTTACTCTCTGGGGTTCTTATCCTGTGGCTGGGGTCGCCTGTGGAGCAGCATGGCTGGGTGTCTCTCTCCATTGGACAGGAACAGGCCTCTCTGCATGTTGCCAGGGGTGTTCTGAGAGGGCCTCTTCGGACTTCACCTTGGAAACAGGGTCATAGGAAATCATGAGGCCAGCCCAGGTCCTGGGATGGGAAAATACTCTGTCCCACAGGGAGCAACAAAGTAGCATAGGGTGACTGACCACAGGGGACGGTTACCTTCTCTCAGGCATGCAAGGCTTGCTCTCCCCTGCCATTTCCTCCTCCCTCTCACACAGCAGCAGGCTCAGGGCTGGGGTGGGGCAGCTAGTGAAAAGCCATCATCCCAGCTGTCATGAGCGAGAGGGAGGAGGGTCTGCAAACAGGGCAGGAGCCGGAGGCCTGTGCAGGAAATGGTCATGGTTCCCACGGCTCCGAAGTGGAGGCAGGACTGGCAGTGCTGGCTGCACCTGGCTTCTGGCGTCCCTCTGTCTCTGGTTGAGGAACAGACCAACCCAAACCTGGTGACTTCTTGTTTCTCCTGATTCTGTGGGTCGCTGGGCAGTCCTGGCCTTTCCTGGGTGCTCTGCAGTCAGCTGGTGGCCCTGCCTGTTGAGGCTGGATGGCCTAGGGGGACTTTCTGCAGGAGCTGGGGCCTCAGTGGAGTCCAGGAAGTGGCTGATTGGTCTCCCCACTGGCTGGGAGGTGTTCCAGTCACCTCACAGGCAGGGTGGGATTCCTTGGGAATTGGAAGGGCTTGGGGAATTCCTCCACTTCCCCTGCCCCTCTCCTTTTCTTGGTTTGAGGGTGAGGCAGCAGGAGAGGAGCTGACCTAAAACATACTGTGGCAGTCACCTGCCTGCCCGCCTTGCTTCTCCCCAGTTCTGAGTGTTGGTTCTGCGTGTGGTGGTCCCAGACCACCACCAGCAGCAGCAGCAGTGTCACCTGGGAACTCTAAGTTCCAGATTGACTTAATGGGAAATTCAGCCTGTGGCTCAACCACCTTCTCAGTGAGTCTGACGCGCCGAAGTGTGAGGACCTGCTCTTCGGAATGAGGGTGGTGGCTGGCTGCCTTCTGACTTAGGGCCTCAGGCCTTTGCCACCTCTCTGTTGTCAGAAGAAATGCTGTCCCCCAGCCTCCCTTCAGGCCCCTGTCTCTCTGAGTTAGAGTCTTCTTTGTGATGTCTGACCTAGGTCCTGTTTGTGTCTGTGTATGTCTGCACAAAATCCACATTTAAAAAGTAACTTTACCACTCAGGGTCATCGAGCATCAGTGTCCTGCTGCTCCTGGTTCCCAGGCTCCTGGTTGTAGAGGTAAAACATGGCCCCAGACACCCCCAGCGCAGTCTAGCAGTGGAGGAATACAGGGTGACGTCCAGTTGAGCAGGGGAGGTGACAGATTCCGACAGTAAGTGCTGGGCTTGAGATGTCTGGGTACGAAGAGATGATACCTTGCAAGCCATGGGTCCTAAGGGCTCAGGCTCCGAAGGCCGGGCAGGAGCTGGTGCAGAGAAACCTGTCCTGGGCACAGGAAGTTAGTGCCGGGTTTCCCTGAAGGTGGCTGTTCCTTGGAATCTTTTAGAGTGCTCTCCAGGTGGATTTTGTGCATCCCCACCCCACAGCCTTGTGAATAATAGGTGTCCCAGACGGTTTTGATCAGACGGATTTGGAAACCCTGACCCTCACCCTGACCCTCACCCTGACCCTCCCGGCTTGCTCCAGGAACAGGAGCAGAGCACAAGCAGGAGGCCTGGGGTGGAGCTGGCTCTGTCCTGAGTTAGGCTGGCCTAGACGGGTCTGTATGTAAAGATCTTCTGGAACCCGGAGGTAGGGTGGGGGTAGGAGGGTCGGAAGGAGAGCTGAGAGCAGGGTTCCAGATGCCAAGGGACTGGAAAGTTACAAGGAGGAGGAGTAGTTGACGGGCTCAAGTGCAGGGCACTGCGTCACTGGTGACCAGAGGCAGCCGAGCCAGGCTGCGGTGGGGTGGATGCCTGTCAGGACCTTCCGAGGAGGAGCTGCGTGAAGGTGGAGGCTGCCGGGTGCTCTTGTTGGGAAATGGGAGAAGCCTGAGCTTGCTGCCCTGGGCGGGGAGCCAGGAGAGGGGGGTGGATGGAAGAGGGCTGTTGAAGTAGAGTCCTGGAGCAGAGAAGGATGGATTCCGAAGCCCAGCTTTTAGGATTGGCCTTGAAGAAAAGGAGGGCCACCCCACCTCGTCCCGGAGGGAAGGAGGGAAGGGGGACGGTGTGAAGGTGGACAAGGTAGCTGCTGGGAATGGCCAGCAGCCACTCGCCTCTGTTCCGTTAATTTGAAGAGGAGATGCCCCATCCTAACCACTGGGGCTGTGCAGGAGGGCGGAGGCCGGACTCAAGGCACCATGCAGGGGAGGAGGGTGCCAGGTGCCCACCCGGGATTCTCTGGCCACTTTTGGGGATGTTCCCAGTTCCCCAAAGTGACTTTGAGGGGTGTTCACCTGGAGTACCTGACAGGTTTGAAAGTAACGGGATATTTTAGGGCTGCCCACTAGCTTCAGAAATAATCCCCACTCTGGTGAATTGATGGTCCTGGGCTCTGGCTGCTGTCACAGACTCTGGCAGATGCAGGGCACTTGGGCTGTTTCCGAAGCCTGGAATACAAGTTCAGGCTCCCCGCGTGGTCAGTTCTCCACCACTGAGAACAGCAGGTGCTCAGGAAGCACACTAGGGCTCCGTGTGAGCCAGCTGTGGCCACGTGTGCAGCGCTTTGGTGGAAGCCCCAGGGGCGGGAGCCTCAGCTGCCCCATGACTGTGTGTAGCTTTCCATGAGCCGAGGTGTCTGCGCTGGCCTCTGGTCCTTGTGGTGCTGGTGTTTGTTAGGCTATGGCTCCATAGGACGTCCCCTTCCAATTTTAAGTGTCACTGTCTCTCTTTCATGTGTCCTTCCTTCCTGGCCAGTGGTTTTGAGCTTTCTCACTGTGGGTGCACAGTCTCTGGGCCAGGCTTTGCCCCTCTGTGAGAAGGAGGCCGCCTGAGACTTGGTGCCTGCATTATCACTGTGCCTTGTTTTGTTTCCTGGGAGGGGACACCTTGTGGCCCAGTGAGGCTCCCACATTAGGCCACAGGCTGACTTGTTCCCATGGCTCCCTTGGGCAGTGCTTGCTGGGACCTCTGAGTGTTTCTTCCCCCAGCAGGTGAGGGGTGGGTGCCTGACAAGACTCACTCCACTCTCTGGTTGTCACCGCTGTGTCCTGTGCCTGGGACCTGCTTTGGCCCTGCTGGGCTTCTCACTCTACCCTCTTCTCTTATTCTCTTTACTTCCTTTTCAGTCCTCTCCCTTTCCTCTCTGACCCTTTCCCATCCTATTCCAGTGTCTTTGAAGGCTCCATGGACCTTCGAGGGTTGTCTCCGCGTCCCCTTTCTCCTGCATGCAGGGTTGTTCTAAGGGAGAATGTGTCCCTAGGGCTGCTGGCTTGAGCCCTTTGATGCCCAGGGAGGTTTCTGGCTGGTGCTTGTCACTGGGGTGGGGCTGGGGTGTTCCTTGTTCTGAGGTGTGCAGTGGCTCTGTGCACCTGGCTCTGCTTGCTAAATGTTAGTATCCCCCACCCCCCTGAGTTTTGTGACAAATAGCCCCTCACATCACTTCTACACATGCCCTGGGGGTGACAGGTTACTGCCCCCATAGAGAACTCAGCTGTTCACACATCTCTGTGCAGGGGGACTGCTAGGGTGGGTGCCTGACCATTCATGATGGTGAAGAACTTTTAGGAACTGTTTCAGGGACACAGCACTTATGTGACAGAACAGTGCAGGCTGCTTATTGTTTTCTGGGATTCGGTTGGATTGTTGCTGTAGGTGGAGGCAGCAGTTATCAGTGAGGGTGGACACTGGGCTTTGCACCAGTCCCTCATAGGTAGACTGTCTGTCCCTCCATCCCAATCCCTTGCCTGATGTAGTAGATACCTGTGTTTTAATAAATACCCACTTGGATTTAGGTAATTTTGGGGATAGGGTGGAATTTTTGTTTAGACAAGAGTGTGCTGTTGGGATTGAACCCAGGACCTTATGCCTGCTAGGCAAGTGCTCCATCACTGAGCTACATCCCCAGGCCAAGACAATAAACTATATGTCCATTCTAGCACGTTCACAGAATCATTTAGGCTTTTAATTCCACTTTTAATTTTAATTCCACTTTTCTTCTTTAATTGGGTTTTGTTTAATTGTTTAATTAATTTTGTTTAATTGTTGGACGTTTACCACGTTTATCAGTCTAATCTACATATGTAGGTGAGACCCAGGAATCTTAGGTCCTGACCCTGAAGAACTGTGTTCCCAACCAATCTGACCCTTGACACAGAAAGCGGGACTATGGACTGAAGTATCATAAATAAAGAAATGATCATGGCACTGTGAAGTATAAAGGTTTTCCTTCTTTTTCTTTTCTCCTGCAGAACCTAAAAGCAGACCCAGAAGAGCTTTTTACGAAACTGGAGAAAATTGGAAAAGGCTCTTTTGGTGAGGTGTTCAAAGGCATTGACAATCGGACTCAGAAAGTGGTTGCCATAAAAATCATTGATCTGGAAGAAGCTGAAGATGAGATAGAGGACATTCAACAAGAAATCACAGTGCTGAGTCAGTGTGACAGTCCCTATGTAACCAAATATTATGGATCCTACTTGAAGGTAAGGCTTAAAAATAGCGCCATTTTCCATCTTGCAGCACTTGGCTGAGCGGGGACAGGAAGGACTCTTGCAGCACAGCAGGCTTGCTCAGGAAGGAGGGTGATGTGACCTTTGCAATCAGAGCAAGCTGACCTCGATGGTCTATCATTTTAAATGTCGCCTATAGAAATTTATTTTTGGCGAAGTGTTTGATGTTGACATTCTCTTAGAAACAACAGAGTATTTCTGGGTGGGGCTTTGGCATCAAAACTGTCTCTCAGTATCACAGTAACTGTTAATCACCTAATTTTAGGATGATTTATGAGCAATAATAAAACACTCATGCCAGCTTAAGAATATTAATCTCTTAATGTTTTCCATCATAACTGCAATTTAATTTAATGCTGTTTTTAAAGACTGTTGCTGAGAATTGTTAATTTTGATAGCTAGTTTATCTACGCTTCTCAGAATACGAAACTAAGTTACAACAACAGAGCACTACAAACTATCCTTGGCCTTTATGCTATTCCTAGAATCGTATTAAAATGGTTTTCTGATCTTGATGGAACCGGTTCACTCTATTAGATGTTGCAGGGTCATCTTCTCCCCTGAGAAGTTCTAAGACTGTTCTTGTGTTTTGGGTTCCTAGACGTGTTCATTTCATGAGCTACAAATGTGTAGTATCTTTTAAACTGAGTTTTGGAAATCAAAACATTGTAGGTAGAAATGACTATTTCCCAAGGAAAGCAGCACCACACCATTGTGAGTTTATCTATCTCCTTAATAAACCTGCTTTGATGTAAAAAGGGATAATATAGGTTTTGATTTTGTGGAAATGTGAATAAGAAGGTATTAGTTGAAGGTTGGAAATTCTGAGAACCTTTGATTTACCAAAATGAATATTTAAAGGAAATCAAAATTGAGTGGTAATACTATTTTCCATTCTGTAAATGGTAACAATATGGCATGGCTAGCTCAAATGTAGCATTTTGAATTGGGAGTGAGTTTTGGAGTTGAATGTCACCAGGCTTGAATCTTGCCATCATTTACTTTGGTGTGTGGCCTTGAGTGAAGAAAAAAAAAATTGTTTTTAAAGCTTCCTTGCTTCCTGATTTGTAAAATGGAAAATACCCATTGTTGCAGGGCCAGGGATGTGGTTCATTGGTAGAATGCTTAAAATCCTGGGTTTAGTCCCAGCACTGCAAAACCCCAAAACAAACAAAAACCCATTGTTGTAAAAATTAAATGGAAAATAAGAATGTGGAAGTACCTTCAGTCAGCTTTCCATGGCTGTGACCAAAATACCTGACAAGAGCCACTTGAGAGGAGGACAGTTTATTCTGGCTCCCATTTTCAGAGATTTAGTCCATGGCCAGCAGACTCCTGGTCTGGGCCCAAGGTGAGCAGAAAGTGATGGGAGGGTGTAGCAGAGGAGAAAGGAGAAGGGGCCACAGGTGGATGTACCCTTTCAGAGCACGCCCCCGTTGGCCCGTCTCCTTCTGCTTACAGTCGCCACCTGTCAGTCACCAAACTAGGATGGACTGATTGGGTCACAGCTCACAATCCGACCATTTCACCTCTGAATATTCCTGCATTAACACAGGAGCTTTTGGGGGACACCTTCTATCCAAACCATAACAAGTAGGTACCTAATCTTAATTTCCTTCCTTAATTGGTTGGATTTGTTGAGACCTCCTCTCTTAAATTGCCTTGTAGTGAAGGTAAATTACCTTCAGAGAAAGTATCCAGTGAGGTCAAACCAAGAAAACCCGACCAGTGAGAGCTGAGGAAGGAGGCCAGTGCCCAGAGTGAGTGTTGCATGCTGGTGCCCCAGCGTGGCACTCACCAGGCAGCCGGGAGGCACCGCAAACCTTCTTATGACCAGGAGGAGAGCACGTGCGGCTTCCACAGGGGAGTGCCAAGGTCGAATGGATATTAGATTTCTAAGAAGAACAAGCTCAGCTTGGAATCTGTGCTGTGCTGCTTCGTGTGCTGTCAGCTTCCTGCAGCAGTGGTGGTCAGCAGATTCCCAGTTGGCGTTGATGGTTTGCCGCTGTTGTATGGTAGATCTCAGAGTGTCAGTGATTTAGCTGAGCTGCTGTGTAACTGGAAATTAGGGCTCAGTGGCTACGCATGTCTTCAGCCTCAGCTCTGCAGCAGGATTTTACTAATTGTGGGGGTAGATGGCTTTACAGTGGCTCTGACTACACATACCTAGAGTCCTGTTCAGTCTGTCTGGTTCTTGCCTGAATCACTGATTCTGGACCATCATAAAGCAACCTGACCTTGGTTCAGGGTTGCCCAGTGAATTTTATTTAGTTGACATAAAGCCAACTGCTGTCATAAACTCCTTAAATTTATAATAACTCAGGTATGAATTTATCTCTTGCTCACAGGTGGCCTGGTCTGGGGGCTCTTTACCTCCAAACACCGATCCAAGACCTCCAGTTCCTTTGTCTTGCACATTAGCTGTGCTTGGCCATCTTAAGTCAGTGGAGGCTCACGGGTAGGAGAAGCTATGTGCTCAGGCCTGGCCCAGAGCATTCTGTTTCTGTCCATGTTGCCCTGGCCAGAACACCCCTGACCACATCTAACGTGGGAGGCTGGGAATGTCATTGATTGCATGTTTAGTGGGTGGAGAAATGGGCTCAGTGCACATGGCTGGTCTTTCCCAAAGACATGAACTTTAAAGGAAATGGAATAACTCATGGGATGGTTTTTCCACTGACTGTCTTCAGGTCAGACAAAAAGTTTGTGTAATATTTTTATCTTGTATTTTATAAATTTTACCAGGCTGATTGTCCTTTAGGAAATAGTACCACAAATAACATCTCCACCATTGTGGAAGGTTGCCTTCCATTTCGTAAATCATGTTAAAGACCATTGTCATTTTATTTAAAACATGAACTGCTGTTCATAAACAGCATTAACTGTCACAGTCAGCCAGGACAGGAACCCAGATTTGTAATCCTATCTGCCCATTCTTACATGATAGAATTCCATGGACTCCCTGGCCCACAAGAGGACCCTGTGACAGCCAGACTACCCTCGCATTACCTTGGTAGCTTAGGACGTTAGTGTGGTCCTGACTGGCAGGTAAGAGGCGGATGACGGTGACTTGTTAGACCAGGTTGGCGTTGCTTGTGCTGCATGTGGTCCCCATTGCCCTTTGAAAGCTGTACTGTTCAGAGCTCAAGTTCTTCATTCTTTACGAGGTGACTGGAGAGGGGGTCTTAGGATCTCACCCCATGTTAAGGGACTTTTACATAGCAGGACTGGACAAAGGAGAGAATGAATACCAGCAGCTGGTGTCCTCATTGCTGGGTCAGCATTCAAAGGTTTCATGGTTATTATTTGGCTTCATTCATCTAGACCAGCAAAAAAGATGAAAAAGAGTAAGTGGTCAGAATGTCCTGAATATTACTGCAGACCAGGAGGTAGGTTCATTTTGATGTGTAGCCATGATCAAATCTTAGATCACTTTGTGGCATGTTGTTGCCCAAGATTAAAAACAAAACAAGGGCCGGGTGTGGTGGTGCACACCTGTAGTGGCTCAGGAAGCTGAGGCAGGAGGATCAAGATTCGAAAGCCAGCCTCAGCAAAAGCAAGGCACTAACCAACTCAGTGAAGCCCTGCCTCTAAATAAAGTACAAAATAGGGCTGGGGATGTGGCTCAGAGGTCGAGTGTCCCTGGGTTCAATTCCCGGTGAACCAAACCAAACAAAAACCAAGTAAGACAGCCAGGGAGAGAGGGACAGTGATGTCATATTGAGAATTCTTGTTTACGTTGGTGGGTGTACATCGAGGACTGCAGAAGTCTTGAAGATTATCACGCGCCCTGCACTTCATTCATTGTAGCCTAAGTGTTTAATGTTTGGAAAGTCAAACAGTCGGAATGTTAACCAGAAGTCTCCATCTCTCAACTGTTGTACCACAGAAACACCGTCCACAAGATCCAAATGAAAATGTTTGTTGGTGCGTGGGGTGTGCAGGACAAGAGAGGGAGTGTTGAGGGTATGTTTTTAGTGAGGACTTAAGATGGGGACAGTACTGAGAGGTGGGCGCAATGTGGGATTCTACCTCTCTTCTGCCCACCGTGGACTCTCTAGGCATTTTGGTGGGGGGATCGCCAGCCTACCAGACCCTCCATCAGGTTCACGGATGGTCACAGCCAGGGTTTTCGTCTTGGAGCATCCCCTACCATGGGCCACTGACTTGCTAAGGGACCAAATGCAGGTAGATACACTGATCTTTGGGATTGCTATAGAGTTTGGGTCATGTTTGTAAAGTGCCTTGCATGTAATTAATTTTTAGTAAATGATAATTTCTTCTTCTTATAATTTTTGGTACTGGAATTGAACTCAGGGACACTCGACCACTGGGCCACATCCTCAGCCCTATTTTATATTTATTTAGAGGCAGGGTCTCACTGAGTTGCTTGGTGCCTTGCCATTGCTGAGGCTGGCTTTGAACTTGCGATCCTCCTGCCTCAGCTTCGGAGCTGCTAGGATTATAGGTGTGCTGGGATTATAGGCGTGCACCACTGCTCCTGGCTATGTTTTTTTAATTAATATGAGAAAAGTTATCCAAATAACTCAGCTCATTAGTCTGAAACTGATTGTCAGCATGCTGAACATGGGGCTTTCTTATGCTCTTTTATAATGTTACTTAGGTCGCAGACATCAAGCCAGATTGAAGCAAATCAGGTGTGAGGCCCAATAAAAAAGAATATAAATGGCTTTTCAAATCTTTATTTGCCATAGTTTTTATTTTTTAATTTTTTTTATATTTATGAACTTTGGAGTAGTTGTCTAATAGTGGATTCAGATCCCTGGTTTATGTGTAATTTTCATCAGTTCAGAGATTGTCAGGATCGTTTTACCCAAAAAATTCACTAGAAGGCTATTAAGGGAAAGTCCCTCAATGAATTTTAGAAAATAAAATCATTCTGCTAAAGTGTTGGTGACATGGGCACATTATAGAAAATAGCACACTTTTAGAGTAATTTTCAAAGCTGTAGT